TGAGGGCTTATTTCTAGACTCTCAATTCTATTCCACTGTTCTATATACCTTTCCTTATGCCAGAACTATACTTTACTGTTGCTTTTGTAGTAAGTTATGAAATTGAAAGTGTGAGTCCTCCTACTTTGTTCTTTTTCAAGACTGTTGTAGCTACTCTGGGTCATTTGTATTTCCATATGAACTTTAGGAATAGCTTGTCCACTTGTGCAAAAATCCTACCTAGGATTTTGGTAAAGACTGGATTGAATCTACAGGTCAATTTGGGGAATACTGAATTTTTAACAATATTAAGTCATCTAATCCATGAACAGGGCAAATCTTTCCGTCTATTCAGGTCTTCTTTAATTTTTTCAATAATGTTTTGTGGTCTTCATAATATAAGGTTTGTGCTTCTTTTGTTAAATTTATTCCTAGGTATTTAATCCTTTTTGATGCTGTTATAAACAAAACTGTTTCCTTAACTTTATCTTCATATTCTTCATTTCTAGTGCATAAAAAATATTGGGTTGGCCAAAAAGTGCCTGCAGTTTTTAAGTAAAAATAAAAGACACATTTTTCATTTTTACCACGAACTTTACTGAACAACATATGCACCCTTTTGTTCCACTACCTTCTGTCATTTTTCAAGCAACTTCATAAGTCCATCTTCCCAAAACTTTTTATCTTTTCGAGCAAAGAACTGTTCCAGGTGCCTTTTATAGCTTCCAGGGAATTGAAATTTTTTCCATTAAGAGAATTTTGTAAAGACCAAAATAAATGGAAATCCGAAGGTGCAATGTCTGGTGAATATGGCGGATGAATCAGAACTTCTCACCCAAGCCGTAACAGTTGTTGCCTGGTCATCAAAGAAATGTGCAGTCTTGCGTTATCCCGATGGAAGAGTATGCGTTTTCTGTTGACTAATTCCGGATGCTTTTCATCGAGTGCTGCTTTCAGTTGGTCTAACTGGGAGCAGTACTTGTTGGAATTAATCGTTTGGTTGTCCAAAAGGAGATCATAATAGAGGACTCCCTTCCAATTCCACCATATACACAACATCACATTCTTTGGATGAAGACCAGCCTTTGGTGTGGTTGGTGGTGGTTCATTTCACTTGCCCCACGGTGTGGTTGGTGGTGGTTCATTTCACTTGCCCCACAACCTCTTCCGTTCCATATTATTGTACAGTATCCACTTTTCATCACCATCACAATTCGTTTTAAAAACGGACTGTTTTCATTACATTTAAGTAGAGAATCACATGTGGAAATACGTTCAAGAAGTCTTTTTTTTCTTAACTTATGTGGAACCCAAACATCAAAGTGATTCACATAACCAAGCTGGTGCAAATGATTTTCAACACTTGATTTGGATATTTTCAGTATGTCAGCTATTACCCATGTGGTATAACATTGACTGTTCTCAATTAATGTCTCAGTTTGATCGCTATCAACTTCAACTGGTCTACCCTACCATGGAGCATTGTCCAGCGAGAAATCTCCAGCACAAAACTTCACAAACCACTTCTGATGTGTTCGATCAGTCACAGCACCTTCTCCATACACCGCATAAATCATTTTTTGGGTTTCAGTTGCATTTTTACCTTTCTTGACATACAGCATAAAATACTGAAAACATTGTTTTTCTTCCATCTTTAATATTAAAATGACTACACAAAATTTCACCAATTTTGATAAACCTTTTTTAAAATGCACGCTGATATGCCAGCTGTCACATACAATCTAACAAAATTGTTTTGAATGACGTTAAAGCCAACTAAGTGCTACTAGAGCCATCTTACAGAAAAAAACTGAATGAACCTTTTGGCCAATCCAATACAATTGACTTTTTGTATACTGATCTTATATCCTGCAGTCTTAATTTATTAGTCCTAATAGGTTTCTAGTGGAGTCCTTATTATTTTCTCTATGTAAGATAATGGCATCTTCAAACAGAGAAAGTTCTAATTCTCCCTTTTGAATCTGGATGCCTTTTATTTATTTTTCCTGCCCAGCTGTCCAGGTAGAATCTCTAATACATTGTTGAACGGAAGAGGCAAGGTTGAACGATAGTTAGGAACTAGGTTATCTTGTTCCTGATCTTAGGGGGAAAGCATTCAGTCTTCCACCATTAAAAGTGATGTTAACTGTGGGTTTCACTAAGAGATACTGGTTATCAAGGCAAAACTGGCCTCAGAGAATGATTAGTTAGGAAGTGCTCCCTCATTCTACTTTTTGGAAGAATTTGTGAAGAACTGGTATTAATTTTTCTTTAAATGTTTGGTAAAATTTACCAGTGAAGTCACTGGAGCCCGGGCTTTTCTTTGTGGGAAGTTTTTTTTACTAATTGTATCTCTTTACTTATTATTGGTCTATTTGGATTTTGTAGGTCTTCTTGACATAGTTTCAATAGTTGGTGTCTTTGTAGGACTTTTGTCCATTTCATCTAAGTTATCTAATTTGTTGGCATACAGCTGTTCATAGCATCACCCTATAATCTTTTTTATTCCTGTAAGGGCAGCAGTAATGTCCTCCCTTTCATTCTTGATTTTAATAAGTTGAGTCTTCTCGCCTTTCTTCTTGATCAGTTAACAGTTTGTCAACTTTGTTTTTCAAAGAATCAACTTAAAGTTTCATTGATTCTCTGTATTGTTTTTCAATTCTCTTTCTTTATAATAAATGTGTTTCACCTACAAATTTCCCTCTAAGTACTGTGGCAGCCCATAAGTTGTGGCATCTTGTGTTTCTGCTTTCATTCACCTCACAGTATTTTCTAATGCCCTTGGTGATTTTTGTCTTTGATCCACTGGTTATTTATGAGTGTGTTAATTTCTACATATTCTGAATTTCCCAAATTTCTGTTATTAATTTCCAATTTCATTCCACTGTGGTTGGAGGACATACTTTGCTTGATTTCAGTCCTTTTAAACTAATTAAAGCCTGTTTTGTGGCCAAGCATAAGGTCTATACTAAAGAATATTCCATGAACAATTGAGAAGTACATATATTTTTCTATTGTTAGGTAGAGTGTTCTGTGAATGTCTACTAGGTCTGTTTATTTAGACTATTCGAATATTTTATTGTCTTGTTGATCTTTATCCTACTTGTTCTATTCATTATTGAAAGTTGGTTATTGAAGTCTCAAACTATTACTATTGACTTGTCTCTTTGGTCAGTTTTTGCTTCATGGATTTTGGGGCTCTGTTGTTACATGCAAATATGTATTTTATTGTCATAAAATCTCTCCTTTTGTCTCTAGAAATATAATTTTTAAAAGATGGTATAGAATTTAACAGAAGAAAACTTATATAGAGGTAGATGAGAAGTTTGTTCACAAAAGATTGAGGAAACATTCCCTTCACTGTGATCTAGAACTCTTAAAAGTCTTTAACTAAGGAAGGTGTTTTCTAATTCAAAAATTTCTCCTCTGCTCTAATCTTCAAACTACTTTAATTGCCTTTCTTCTCATCTTAGAATATCTGGAAGTTTTACTCCTGTTTTAGTCTTCGCCCCATACCCCCCATTCCTATTCCTGGCATATTTACTAGTAGGTTGGTAAACTAGTTCTAAATTTTAAAAAACTTCAGTATAGTTACATCACAATATTTGATCTAGACCTAATATTTAATAATGGCCCTAATGGTAAGAACATTATAATGACCACTCCCAAGAACAGAGTATTATTTTTCCCTCTTCCAACAGTTGGTCAATCTAGGACTAAGACCCTGTTTTTGAGAGATGACTAAAATACCCTAATCCCAGACTACAATCAAGTAGTTCCAGATTTAAAGACTATATGCTCTGTTCACTTTACCGGATTATACTCAATGCTTCTGACTAACTTATTTCTAGAGCTTAGCCATAAAAAGATACTTTCCACCTATGATGATTTTCAAGAGTTAATTTCCATCAACATTAAGAAAGGAATTCTTTTCCTTAACTGAAATATAGTTGATTTACAATGTTGTTAATTACTGCTGTACAGCAAAGTGATTCAGTTATACATATATATACATTCTTTTTCATATTCTTTTCCATTATGGTTTATCACAGGATACTGAATATGGTTTCCTGTGCTATACAGTAGGACCTTGTTGTTTATCCATTCTATATATACCAGTTTGCATCTGCTAATCTCAAACTCCCAATCCATCCCTCTCCCACCCCACCTCACCCTTGGCAACCACCAGTCTATTCTCTGTCCGTGATTCTGAAGAAAGAAAGTTGCTTATTTGCAACTTAAAAAAAGTTTTAGGAATCCATGCCAGCTTTTTCTTAGGATATGTCAAAAGAAAGCACTGACCATGAATCACAAGTTTCTGTCACAACCTCCCTGCCCACCCCTGCCCCATACATAGATTCCACACATAAGTGATACCACGCAGTATTTGTCTTTGGTTTATTTCTCTTAGCATAATGCCCTCCAGGTTCATCCATGTTGTTGTAAAACACAGGTTCCCAATGAACAATTAAGAATTCCATCTAATGAGTGAGCCCTTATAAACAGAGCAACAATTAACTGATATATGAAATAAACTGATATATGTAATAAACCACCTTGCTCCTGAGTCTATAAACAATTGTGCTGTGAAATCAGTGATTTCAGTAATTTTCCTTTAATAACACTGATTATATACTTTGCAACACCAGTTTATCAAGTGGAGAGAGAAAAGAACATGAACAGAGAGAGATACACTCTAAAGAAACATTCAAGTTCCATTACAATGTTTCCTCCCTAAGAAATACTTTTTCAGTACTAGAAACTGATTCTACCAAATACTGCTGAAATAAGAGGCCAATGTCTAAAATTTAGAATAAGTCTTTGTCAGATGAGCTGTCAGATTATTTAACGTCAGAATGTATATTTTACCTACATGTCTTTTCTTAGAAGAAAAATTTCACTTTCCAGGTTAAAAAAATTTTCTTAACTATTCCATTAATTATTCTTGTTATATAGTTAGTTATTATGTAACTTTAGAAAGTGTATTTTACCCAACTGAGGGAGAAATTTTTACTACTTACCCTTTTCTTTATTGCCATTGGTATTATGCAAGAAGTCTCCATCAGAACGTGTTGTAGGAAAGTCATCTTCATCATCTTCTACCACTAAGTAAAATATATTTAAAGATATCAGGATGAAAGCATATAGAAATTAACCAGTTTATTCTTATGTTCAACGGAGTAAATATACTCTGGATTCTGTGAGTACATGGTCTTATTCATCTTTGTATTTTCAGTGCTTATCAAAGTATGCCCAATAAATATGCTGTGGAATGTCTTTAAATACATTCTTATAAAAACTGTACCCATTCTCATTTGTGTAAGGGATGGTACTGAGATACGATTTATTCTGTCCTCTAAGTCTTCCTATCTCTTCCTCCTGACCTTGGGGAGATTTCATAATTCTACCAGAGGCCTGAAGAGGACAGTAATGGTACATGCAGAAGATACTTTATCTTGCCTCTAGGATATGCAGGGAAAATATAATGACTTATAGGTGTGATATCAATTTTAATTCATCCCAGTGTGTCTGTGCCTGGACATCCATTTTAACCTACCTAATTCCAGAAAATACAGAATCCCCTGTGTTCTTCCACATACCTCTTTCTTCTATGTACTATCCCTTTTTCTACTGACTAACATACTTAATCCTCTGCACTATGTATTCCACTTCTTAGTGCAAATTTCTAAACCTCAGCCCCCAACCTTATTCTCTGTTTCTGAATGGCTTCTTTAGTTTATCATCTTTTGAGGAACTCCCTTTCTACAGAATAAATCTTCACTTTAAACTAATGTCTTACTCCTTGCCTATCTCTCTTTACATCAGGAGTAACTTGGCTCTATGAGGAACATTTCATCTATTTTTAACTCTCTCTCCAATGGATGCAAAGCCCACCACTATTCCTTACTCCCTCCCGTGACTAAATGGTAGTAATTACTATGGAAAATACCTTTATTCTGTACTACAATTTTCTAATTACTGGGCTATTTCATTTTTTCATCACCTGAAAATTTTGCACTCATCTATAACAACTTTTTCAAATCATAAGCTGCTATTATCTACTAACACCTACTATTTTATAACCAGCTAACTGCTAACAGTATCCAACTGACATTTTTCTTTTCCACATCCATCATTCCTACAGACTTCAGTATCCATATTGAAGCCTCTGCAAACACCTTAGTTCCAAGATTAATCAAATTCCCAGATTCTGTGGGTCTCTGTCTTTTCATCAATAATTTGCAAATATGGTCAATTCTAAGAAATTAACTACTACAGTGCTGCTCTGATTTTAAATCATTACTGATTTTAAATCATCAGACAACATCCTGACCCTGACTCATTACTAATCTGATTAACTGCTCTTAAATACTGAAATGTCTGCATTTCACTTGTCTCCTCAGTATCTACCTTGGGTTCCTAAAGATTCACTTTCATATCTCTAAACATCCAATAGCCTAGTACTACCAAACAGGGATTTTTCAGCCTTCTTTTTCTAGTAAATACTCAAAATATAAGACTGATGAAAACAAGAGCTGCTCTGGCTAAAAGAGTGGCCCTCCCCCTTTCCTTCCCAACCAAGCACTCCTTGTCCATCATTGAGGCACCTTTAAGGGATGTCTGACATGATTTAAAACCACTGTCCTAATACAAATCTCCCATCCCAATCAGACTGGTCTCCCTTGCCAGCCCTCAAATCTATTATGCTAAATTCCATCTCTGGATCTTGTACATTTCTGCTTTCATTATCCCTGCAATAATCCAAATCAACCACATTAATAATAGCAACTATTATTGATTTTTTGCTATTAAGCACAGGGCTAATATACATATTCTGATTTAAATCTCACAATCACATGTGCTGGATACAACATCCATGTTACAGAGGAAAGAGATGTGCAGAAATGTGAAGTAATCTACTTCAAGTCATCAAACTAGTAATGAATAGAAGAGCAAGATTAGAACCTTTATGTTTAATATGGTATATATGTCTTGTTTTAAAATATATGTTTAGGTCAGAGATAATGTCTTCTACTTCTCTAATCCTAGAGTATCTGGACCTAAATGGTTAATTAAATCTTACTGAAGTGTGGGGTGTGTGTGTGTGTATGTGTGTGGTTAAGTCTCCTTACTAGCAATTATGATAAAACTTTTTAAATGAAAACACTGAACACCTAAAATGAGAGCTTGCTATTATCATTTCAATGACACACTTAATGAAGAACAGTGATTCTTCTTAAAAAATTTTTAAGTCACAGATAATTTAGTCTTGATAATTTAGTGAAAGTACATCTATAGAGATCTTTAGGTCAGCAATTCCAGTCTATAGTCAAAGTAGGAAACTATGATCCATGTTCTTATTTCACCTTTACCCAGCATGTACTCTTAAAAACATTTCTTAAAATAGCCATTTATAGGGAAATCAGTTGTTATATGCTGAATTGTGCCACAACTAAATTCATATGTTGAAGTCCTAACCTTCCTGTACTCCAAAATGTAACTGGACTTGGAGACAGGTCTTTACAGAGGTAATCAAATTAAAATGAGGTCATGAGGATGGGCCCTACTTCAATATGACCAGTGTCCTTATAAGAGGAGGAAATTTGGACACAGACACTTACAGAAGGCAGATGATGTGAAGACACAGGGAGAAGATGATCATCTACAAACCAAGGAGAGAGGCTTAGAACAGATCCTTCCCTCATGGCCCTCAGAGGAAACCAAACTTACCAAAACCTTGATCTCACATTTTTAGCCTCCAGAACTGTGAGGAAATACACTTCCGTTGTTTAAGCCACACAGTCTAGAGTACTTTGGCGATGGCATCCCTAACAACTAATACATTAGTCTATGACTGCTGCTATATAATCAAACATGAATAATGTTTAAAAATATTTTTCAGATCTTCTATACAACATGGTTATTATTACATCCCAACTTCCACTCCTTCAACTATCACTTTTGTCTTTAAAATGCTATGTTATTATTGACGTGAATCATTTAAAAATAAACAAGGAATCCAAATCGGTATACATCCTGTTTTAGTTTAAAGGGCTATTTGCAAGCAAATGAAAGCTGATGTGTAATGTCTAATTTGACCAAAAAAAAAAAGTATACATACGTTTTTAATTAATGAGAAATAGAAGTTCAACTGTGTTTATTTTTAGAGAAATAAATATTAAATGTTAAAGAACCAAAAACTTAAAAGTACATCAAATATAAAGAACTTCAAGGATACTTCAGGTAAAATTAAGTGCTTTAAGAGGAATATGGGCTTCCGCTTCAGGCAAAGATGGAATAACAGGGAGAGAATTTATCCTCTAGCGTGAAACTAAAAAATCAGACAAAATATATGAAACAATGGTTTTCAAGATACTGGATATTAGGCAACAAAGGGACAATGATCCCTAAGGGCTGGGGAACAAATGATGTGAGCCCTGTGAACGCTCCAGCTTACTGCCATAGGAGAGTTTCCAAGCTGTAGAGTAATGAGGAACCCAGGAGGAGCCTGGTAGACTCTCTGAGGTGAAGAAAGGGAGCTGAGAATCCAGAGAGACAAAGGACAGTAGAGTTCACAAGGCAGAGTACTTGGGAGGAGAGAACTGTACAGAGAGAGAACTCTGGAGATGGGCAGAAGGTCCCCCTGAGTATTTAGCAGAGTACTGACAGCACATACAAGTTGAGGAACTATAGAGGTCATAGAAAGAACCATCTGAGAAGATTCCACCAGGGAAGAGTACCCAAAGCCTATGTGGGGCAGGGAAAAGCACCTGTTCCTATAACACAGACCTGGAATAATTCACAGGGAATTGGCTAGAGAATGTGAAACTGCCTTGGCACAGTAGTAGGGAGAAATGGAAATACATTATTCTAAGGTTCTTAAACAATACAGGAGGTGGGTATATTACTTGAAGGGAGACTGTAATAACTTAAATGTGCATACTATGAACCCTAAAGTAGCCATTATAATAACAAAGAGTATAACTAAAAAGCCAACAAAGGAGATAGAAAACGGAATTATAAAAAATACTCAATCCAAAAGAAGGCAGAAAAAGGGAACAAAGAACAGAGAAGATAAAAAGAATATGTAAGAAAGGGTGAGCTCACGTCCTTCTACTCCACCATCTTGCCAGCAAGTCAACAAAAAGAATATGAACTCAGATCAAAGACATTTAATAAGACCAAGAAACGAAACCATGTTAGGCAACTTATTTATACTGGGTATGAACTCAGCATGATTTAGTAATACTGTTATGAGTAGTTCATTTTTGCCCACTGTAACAAATTAAGAGAAAAACTGAAGAACAGATATTGACAACACCAGTAATATTTAGCAGTAACAAATGAAAAGTAACTTCAAAATTCACATTATAAGTTAACTAAAGATCATCTCTCTTAAAAAAAAAAACTCACTAAAATTACTTTTACATGTGTATGTAATTCCATTATTGACTTCTTCTATGAGAAAAAGGCCAGAGGAAGGGAGGGTGACAGAGGGAAGGAGAGAAAGAGAGGTAAAGAGGGAGAGGAAGAGGAAGAGCGAGGGACGAAAAGATCAACTGATTCCAGATCTGGAGGATTTAACATAAACATATGCTTGCCTCTAAGACTCGTCATAGGGTACATTTATTAGACATAATCATGTGAAATGTCCCATATTATCAAGATGATATTATATTTTTTAATGGAATAAAGAGTTCAAAAACCATTTTAAAATCTTCAGTGATATCTGGTATGGGTGATCAGATTAATTAGGATGTTATTAAACTAGACAAGTTATGTGGACACTGAAATCTGTTACATTAGAGGTGTACAGCAAAAGTGACTATAATTACCTTCATCACTTAAAGACATTACCCTTAAGATCAAGAGGCTTTAAATAGTGGTAATAGCCTAATTAACCTTTATCCCTTTGAAGTTCATCCTTGGAGACAGCATCAGCACAGGCATCAAAGTACTTCTGTAGAGTATCAACTTGTCTGCATAGGATATCTCTAAAGGTTTCCATTTCAGCCAATTTCTCACGTAAACTGTGGCCCTTCTGCAAAACAAAAAACGGGGGAATATAATCCAAGTTAACAAAACTAGAATTTGTTTATACTTAGTCCCATGGTATTTCACCACCTTTTAAGGTCTGTATCTTACTATTGAGGGCATGGAGTAGGGAGAGTTGTCAAGTTCAATGTATTATTTCCAGGGACGGACTTGAAACTCAGTAATTAATGGCTTGATAGTGATAAGCCTGAAGGAAATGAGAGCAAGCCTGACAACTTGCCACTACAAGATTTAATATTTTCAAATTAAACACTGTGATGATAAATTGTGAAAGACTTTAAAATGGGCAAAAATATTACTGGGTGTCCTTTGAAAGGAATAGTAAGTATCATCCGTGGAGAGGGTGTCCGATCATATAGAAGTCTTTGATTTCATTGCATTTGAGCTATTTTACAACTCTTTAAGTCACAGAAAACTGAGAGTAATGTAAATGATTCTTGTCCATAGAAAAGCAAATGAACTTTGTCCAGTGGAGGTACACTGGTTACTAATGTGTGACTATTGATTAGTTTTGCATATATTAGCAAAATCATTTCAGCATTCTTCACATTCTTCTTTGAACTACATTTTTTCTTTAACATCTTATTTCATTAATGAATGAAACAAAATCTCTGACGTGTGTTAATTTTATTTTTATGAGTCATGATTTTACCTCTTAAAAAACTATTCTGTAACAACTTCAAATAATCTACATTGTAGGAAAATTCTTTCAAAAAACTTATTCTATCAAATAAGTTCTGTTCACAACATTCAGTACTAAAGCATTCATAACCACAAACCTTGAATGAAGACGTGGATGTTGCAGAATAGCCACTTGCTCCAGACACCAGTGACACCATTGAGCCATGTCGACGCAAGCTGGATTCAGATCCATATCCAGACTCAGTCTAAAAGGGAAAGTAAACTACATGAAAAAAATTAAATAAAAAATACTTAATCATCCAAGAAAAAAACTTTTTAACTATGTGAGGTTATGGATGTTAACTAAACTTACTATGGTAATCCTTTCACAATATATACATATATCCAATAATTATGCTGTAAACCTTAAACTAATACAATGTTATATATCAATTATTATCTCAATAAAACTGGAAAAATACTTAAGAGAAAACAAAAGTTTCCCTATAAATTAATAAGGTTATTGCAAAAAAAATTTTTGTTAAGGTTACCGTAACAATAATTAGTAGTTTGAGTTCACTCAAGAAATATAGGCAATCCACTGGCATAAGCAATGCTTTCAATTCCTAATTGCCACTTCATTTAGAAATTTACTGAATACCAACTACATGCTGGGCTAGTTGGCTAAAAGAGTTTAATAATAGGAAAACTACCTAGAGAAGGTAAATTCATAGAGACAGAAAGTGGAACAGTGGTTATTAGAGGGCTAGGAAGAGGGGAGAATGAGGAGTTAGAATTTACTAGGAACAGAGCAGGAGCTGGAGAAGATGAAAAAGTTCTGGAGATGGATGGTGATGGTAGTGATGGTTGAACAACAATGTGAATATACTTAATGTCACAGAATTGTACAATTAAAAATATCTGAAATGACAGATCGTCATGCATATTTTACCACAATAAAAAATTGTGGTAGAACAAGGACCAAAAAAAAAAAGAAAAAAAAGGAAAACTTCTTTATAGATGAATTATTTACCCTGACACAGCTCAAATATCACTGTCTCAATGAAGCCTTTCCTATTATTCCAGATAGTCTGTCTCTGTATTCTCAACCATTCTTAACATATCATGATTATGGCATTTGCCACTCAATTTTAATAGTTTACATTTTGTAACTACTAGTGGACTTGTACCTTCTGTAAGAAGACTGTATTTCTTCCATTTTTGTAGCCACCTTGACAGTTCATGGCACAAAGAAAATCCCCAACTTTGCCAGTCTATTCTGTAATCACATCATAGAAGATAACTGAACTCTTTTTGGGGTTTAGTTAGACTCAGAACTGTGATCTAATTTTGATGGAGTTGGCACTCTTTAAAGTATCAATTTTACATCCCATCCTCCTTAGGAAAATGCAGTACTAAAAACATGGACAAAAGAATTAAACATTTGAAAAAAACAACTTCCAAGTACCTAAAACCTGCTCAAGTATTTTGGGATCTCTGATTTCTTCCTACTGTTATTCTTTTACAAGTACTGTGCATAATTTTAATCCTAAACACTAAACTTAAGAGGTAAAATAATATCTAATCATTTTTGGCATCACACCTAGTGCAGCTTCTTAAAAATTCAAGCTTCCAGTACATACCGGTCGCTAAAGATTCAAAGTAAGATTGTCATACTTTAATAATGCCTGTTCATAAAACACTCTACCTATAAACAGTACTGCAATATATTCCTAACTCTGAATTTACTAACAAATTACATATAAACTCATGACTAGATGGAATCAAAGGTACAATAAATTGGACCTCAATAAATTAGCTAAAGAAAAAAAGGGAAGCTTGTTTCAGTATCACAGAATCCCACAAAAAGAAAATTCTAATTACAGAAATCATGCAATTCATTAAAAAAAATAAGACTTATCAAATAATGTCCTGGAACAAAGGTACTGAGCTAGGTTCCTTAACTAAAATGGCTCTAGTTTCTCTTTCTCGTTTGACAATAATGCTAACTTTCTAAGTATAGTGTTTCTACATTTTAATTGTTGTAGTGGTTTGGTAAAGTTTTTCGTTAGATTTAAATATAGAAGATTGGAATTAAAAGTAAGAAAAATCTGGGCTTCCCTGGTGGCGCAGTGGTTGAGACTCCGCGTGCCGATGCAGGGGACATGGGTTCATGCCCCAGTCCGGGAAGATCCCACATGCCGCGGAGCGGCTAGGCCTGTGGGCCATGGCCGCTGAGCCTGCGCATCCAGAGCCTGTGCTCCGCAGCGGGAGAGGCCACAACACTGAGAGGCCCGCGTACCACAAAAATAAATAAATAAAAATAAGAAAAATCTATCTGTGATGGACCAAAAATATAAGGTACGTACTTCAGCAATCACTTATCTCAGACACCTATATGTCATTCACTTCTCAACATAAATTAATCTGAACTGTCCATCTAAATACAAAACTACCCCATAATTTACAATCAAAATTTTATTTAAAAACAAATTTTGGATATTTATTTGAAAAATATTTAAAACCAAACAATTTCAAATCCAAATCCAAATGAATCTACCCTCTCCATTTACTTGCTTTATATCAATGAGTCCTAAACAGAGTAAGTCAAAACTTTAAAATCTTGAAACAAAATATGAACACTACAAAGCTTTACTAAATGTTTTTTGACTATGAAACATACTTCTTACATCCTTGCCTGTGTTTTCAGGTTCCACTATTTCAAAACAGTAATATCTCCTTACAACAAAGACATGATAGAAAAAAGAACTCTACTATAGCAATACTGTTGCTGTACATTTTAAGTAATGGATAGTAAATGAATGTTGAGGCTAAGAGTTTAGAGTAATTGTATTTCTACCTTTAACAAAGTTTCACTTAAATAAACTGCATTATAAATTATATACATCATTCCAAGGAAAAAGAAAATAAAGTATACTCATGAAGACCAATTCCATTTTATTCAATTTAAATAATGGGGATTCATTTGTCACTCTATGTCAGTATCTGCACTGGGATAACTTTTAAAATAAATAAGTGTTTAACAAATACACACATGCACATACAAATGAATCCTCACTGTTTAAAAACCGGTCATTCTGGAAATGTCTATAATTGTGCCAATGATGCTATCATTGCAGAAAAGATTCCTGATGGTACTACCACAATATTTAGAGTAATTTTATGATACAGCCACAAAATGGAGCTATCTAAAATCATTTCGGGGAGTCGCAGAATAAAACTTTTAAAACTGTTTCACTACTTCAAAGAAATAGCTATAAACTGTATAATTAAGCTTGACTGCCTTTCTTAGTCACATGACATGGCTCTGATTTAGTACTGGATTTCTCTCAAAAATCTAATCTATCATTAAGATATCAGTATTTTAGAAACACTTTGTCACAGGGGCTAAAATGATTCTAAAAGATAAGTTATAAAACTCTTCTGAAAAGCATCAATGTTGTTGACATCTATTTGGCTTTCCAAGATGTCCACTTTAAGGCAACAATACTCATTCTGAATTTAACAAGGTCTGCTTTTCGAAGGTGGGGGTGAGGGAAATTTCCAAGGATGGAAATGGGAAGAAATTACTTTATGGTCACAACTGATACACACTGTTAAATGTTCCTAAAAGTCTTGACATGCCTTTAAAATCTCACTGGTATGATTTTAGGGATAATACTTTAAAGGCATGCTGGCTTTTTCTTAACCCCATTTTTCCATAAGAAAAAAGCAGAGCTTACTTACAAGCTCTAATCACCAATACAGTATTTTTGAAAATACCAGTTTCCATCTAAAATTAATAATGTGGAATTCAAATACAGTTACTATAGGAATATTTCCTTTCAACATATATGCTTTATGATCCCTCACACAAATTGCTTTGCAAAAAAAACCCTTCTTTCCCAAATTTGTGTGTTTGTAAGCAGTATTGTTTTGCATGAACATACAATGACATTTTGGTTCAATGAAACACTTATTGAACATGTCCCATATAGAATGAGGCTGGGTTCTTTTAAATATTACAGTAATGAGACCACACCTTTGTTATAACATTCCTCCTTATTTTGGGGGTGGGGAGTGTAATCTTTTGGCCACTAGAGGGGGTCGGTAGCACTTCCCAAGCAGTATACTTGGAAAACTGATACAAAGGTTACTATTGGTCAAAGTACAATAGTAACCTTCAGACTAAATCCCTTGCATGTATGTACCTGTACTTTCTGTATCTTGATTTTCTGAGAACACCTAAAATCTTGATAAATTAAGTCATATAGTTCAAAGTTATGAATTTAATAAAGGACCAGAAATGCCTAAGAACTGATTTGAAAAGAAAACTCCCTTAAAGTCACAGCTAAATTTTATAGTTTGGCTTATTCATGTAGGAGATAAACATATATTTTCGTTTTGCACAGTCTGTTCATCAGCCTATCTATACTCCAAAAAACAGTGGTATAAAATAAAGGAAATAGGTTGGCTTTTTTTTTTTTCATAGCACCTGCCTTTTGAAAAGCTTATTCATTTTCCTAATAACACTCTCCAGCAAGAAGCACAGCAAAATAACTGAGAAAGAAATTAACTTCCTCATGGTGTCAAACATTACCTATTTTGTGGCATAGTCTCCCTATTGTTTCTTCCCATTTTAATTATGGGAAGAGAGAAAATAGAAGATTAAATGTTAACATTAGAACAATGGAGCACTTTCCAGAAACTGAAATTCTGAAACCCATAATAAAACCAAATGCGTTTTAACATTAGAACAATGGAGCATTTTCCAGAAACTGAAACTCTGAAACCCATAATAAAACCAAATGTGCTTGCTATGTTGCCAGCACCCACACATCTACTTTTAATATTAATATTTTAAAGCAAACCACATGAGAAGACACTATAGCCAGGAGAACAATTTAATCAATAAAATTATGGTTTACAGTATCATAATAAGTTACAATGGCAACAATTTTATTTATGATTGTAGGTAAACATATTATTTGCTATAATAAAATTTGGCATGACAATTTCACTTATAAATATTAAAATCTCATCTATTTAGCCTTTCAAATACGTATGGATCCCCCTAGAGAAACGGTAGCCTCTGAAGTATAAAGAACACAATGATAACAGAGAGAAGACCTGCTCGACTGTCACTGTCACCACTATACAACTAGACAAGTCAGTCATTACTTTCCTGGACTTAATTTTTTTTTAATTAATTAATTTATTTTGGCTACGCTGGGTCTTTGTTGCGGCACCTGGGCTTCTCTAGTTG